ACCATATTCGTCATGATAACAAAACTAATGGAGTTATTTCAGAAAAATCTCAATAAATGTATTGAGATTGTCAAGCAAAAAACGAATATATAAATTGAAAAATACGAAATGAACATAAAATTAACAATTCATACTGTCATTAAATAACAGTACAGGGTGTCACTAAAGTACGTCAAGCTTGACCAAAGTATTAAACTTGATGTGCTCTTTACTGCGCAAATATTGGGTCTCCGTCAAGGACCGTCTTATCAAATATACGAGACAATAGTACAAATAAATGTAGATATGTCAACGAGATTGAAATTGAAAAAAATAAAATTAAAATAATCACAGCATTACAGATACGTTGTACTAATGTATAGATTTACCGCTGGTTTGTCTACTTTTGGTTGTCTTTAAATGCCCGATTTTTATTTTGTTCTTATATTTTAACCATTTAACTGCCTCCGTGGCCGAACGGTTACCATGCTGGACTGCCACGCAGAGGTCCTGGATTCGATTCCTAGGCCGGAAGAAATATGTGTACGGCCTACATTATTATTTCTCTCGTCAGTTTGAGTGTCATTTGTGGTTGTCTATGTACGATTCCATGGCTCCCGCGACATTCCCTAGCACGGGACTTAAAAAAATCTGGAAGGACATTTTATTTATTATTATTATTATTATTTATTGCAAGTAGAATGCTAATAGATAATTCGATTTTTACAGGAAATCGAGCGATTTATAAATGAAGCAGAATATGGCGTAATTTATATGAATCTTGGTTCTACAGTGAAGGATTCAACACTACCAACGGAAAAATTAAATGACCTACTGTCTACGTTCAGGAAACTACCTATGAGGGTACTTTGGAAATGGGATGGTGGAGTCATAAGCAACCTCCCTAGAAACGTTATGACCCTGAGATGGTTCCCACAATATGATATTTTGAGTAAGTGTTTTAAATAGTAAAGTTTGGAGCTGTACTGCTATTACTTGTAAATAAAAGTAGCAGTAGAGTTCCTATGGAACGAGTCCGTCCAGGGAAGTACTGCCACCTAATCTATTTCAGTTAACAAACAGTAATGTGAGCATTACTGCGTTCCGGTTTGAAGGAAAAGAGTGCCGGTGAAATTACAGGCACATGGGACTTGTCAACACATGTCTCAGGGTGACAGGCGCAGAGGCAGTGCCCCTCAGATCTGTGCAATTTAAAACTCTGAGTAGCACTGTAACTGTTATGGACAGGTGTGTCGCTTACCAACAGGCCCACGACTTGTTTTGATTTAATATAAAAAAATGCTATTTATATATCCATAGTCTAGTTAAAACTCTTCGAAAGACATCGAAAATGTTCAAATTAGGCCATTCCACCAAAAAGTCAAATTATTTTGTTAGATAATCGAGGAATTTATAAATTAAATAGCATGTAGACCAAGTCTTGTAAAAACATTTCAGAGAACGCAAATAGTATTCCTTTGCTTCAATGATGTCAAAATATTTGCCATAGATTGTAACCTACGCATGAGTACTTTTGATCTTTTATCAACAAATTCTTACCCCCAGCAAATTCTTATTCTCATCCTTTCATTTCAGAGCACGAAAACGTGAAAGCTTTCATCACACATGCCGGAATCCTCAGTACTATAGAAGCAATAGATGCTGGTATACCAGTTGTTGCTATTCCTCTCTTTGGAGATCAGTATGGTAACGCAGCCGCCTTGAGAGACATTGGTGTTGCTTCCATTGTAGAGTACCGGGATCTGAGGAAGGAGTTTCTTTTGGATGCTATTAACGAGATTTTGGAACCGAAGTGAGTAAATGTAATGTAAATAATGAGTATTTGGCCTAAATTTGGTTACATAAAATATGCCAAACATTATTCTACACTTCAATAAGTACGTATTTACTAATTCTTCCACTAGCGAAGCCTTTTAAGTATAATTTTAAGAAATCATTCTCTTTAACATTTTGATATAGGTACTTTCAATTCAATATACATACTTTAATCAGGTTACAAGAAACAATGAATTAACTGATAGTATATTATTATACTTTTACATATATTACGCAAACTCTTAAGTAGGTTCGTCCAGGAAAGTGCTGCCACCACTATCTATGTCGCCAAGCAGTAGGATGCCAGTGAAATTACAGGCACTTGGGACTTGTCAACTAATATCTGGGGCACAGTAACAGCAATCTTTGCAATTTAAAGCTGTGAGTAGCACTGCAACTGTCATGAATAGGCCCGTCGCTTACCACCTGGCGCACGACTGTCACTTGTTATCATATTTTTTTTTTCAATTCAATATACTTAAATCGTGTTACAACAGCAGAAACAATGGATTACCTCATTGTATACCTTTAAATTATTTTACACAAATCTCATAAGTATATAGTGTTATACACATATCACAAAATAATATCCGTCGTAATGTAGAGCTAAATAATAAAGTTGGTTTTGAAAATACTATAATTTAATAAGAATGAGTTTGGTGCGATTAAAATTGTACTGGTATCCTGTAAACTTCTAGTAATTAATATACCTATATACAAACTAAGTGCATATATATTTTGATTTCAGAATTCAACAACAAGCTAAACTAGTATCCCGCCTTTGGCATGACCGTCCAATGTCAGCGCTTGAAACCGCCATCTACTGGACGGAGTATGTAGCTCGATACCACGGTGCACCCAACTTAGCAGCGACATCTTTACAAAAGCCGTGGTACCAACAACTTCAGTTAGACGTCTTGGCTTTTGTGGCGCTAGTAGCATATATTCTAACAAAAGTTCTTTGTAAAATTATCTCTGTTTGCTGTTGCTCATGTTGTGGTAATGACGACAAACGAACGTACAATGAAGAAAGGAGAACCAAAAGAGTGAAATTTGAATAAATTGATATAGATACCATCTCAATGGCTTTAAATTGAGTTGCTTACAGCGACATCTGTTATGAGAGAAAATTATGCTGAAGTAGAAGGAAAGTAAAAGAGGACTCCACGTAATAAAACTTAAAAGTGCACAAAACTTAAATGGTTGTTTGTAATTGTTGTTAAGTTTGAATTGTAATTGTTTATAATTGTCTTTATTAAAATTTTATTAAGTATTTATTGTCTTCCACACACATTAAAAAATACTTACTTTATAATAAATTTTATTGCCTCTACCTACATAGGTAATACTTATTTCCTTTGTCTTACTAATTTAATTTTACCCATATATTCACTATCAGAGGTAAAGCCATTTTTATACAAAACCAATTAATCTTAAACTAGGTAATTCCCTGTAATATTGGTACTAGTGTAGCGAAATTCCAAGTGCTTCCATAGTACTACAGCTCTGCTGAGAGTCAAAATAGATTAGTTCCCAAAAATATTATTAATTTTAACGCTAGAAACATTAAGATACAAAATTACCTTAATTTACCTTCAAAATATTAGAATAGTGGCCATCCCAAAAAATGAACCAGAAGAATGCGAGAGCTCGATACTTATAGAAGGTTCTCAGCCTTGGGTAACTTATTGAGCTTCCGGTGAACGGAACACCGATCCCTTTTGACCCTTAGGCTACTTAAATATTGCTACTAATGTTACATGGTTGTTACAAAACGTTTTAATGGGTATAATATGTTCTCTCAAATAATACCGATCAATTACTTGAAGCAATGTTTGATTGCATGTTTCGGCCAAATTTAGGAGACCAGCCGCTTAACACTTCCACCGTTGAAGAGAGCCAATTAGGCATTCGACAACATTACAAAAACTCAATAAGGAATATAAGGAACGTTTGATTACAGTCCAAGAACTTTAAAAAAGCGCACATTATTCCGTAAATGTAATTTATAGATTTTAATATGTTTTAAGGGCAACGAATTTTGTTACTTACGCAACAATAAGTATACTTTTGTATCTATCATAAACCAAATCTTCAACGTAATTTCGAAGGTTTCTCAATTGTGAATTAGCAATTAATTGAGTCAACCCGTAATACATCTTCTCCAAAGGTTAACTCGGTGCAATATGTAATAAATTCTTTCATTCCTGGCGTAAAAACGAGCCGCTGTAGTTTACGACTCTTGAAAAGTACGTGTTACAGAAAAACACTACCTTCCCACCCCAAAAATTATGAACGGTACTACCACTTCGACAAAGTACAAAACCATATAGCACAAGAAGCAACAAAAAAAATGTTCATTTTTTATTTTTCATATACTCTGCAAGTAGTGCACTATTGAACCTTCCAATGTAAAAAGTAAAAAACTATGACACCTACGACATGCCTATGACAAGTCTCACGCCTCCATTACTAAGATTTTCATTAGTAGTGAAGCAATAAATGAGTTTATTGTCATCCTCATCATCATCATTTCAGCGGAAAGACGTCCACTGTCAAAGGCCTCCTACAAATTACATATAACGGATTCCCACAGCTTTCACCAGATCATCGATCCACCTTTTGGGTGGAACCACGTTGCGTCCAGTACGCGGTCGCTACTTTTTAGTCATGTAATATTTACGAGTATTCCATAGGTAAAATTGTTTACACTTGAAAACGTCATTTTTTAAGGTACTGCTCGTTCACTACGCTGACCTGAGAAGAACGATCAAGAAACTTTAGGAACTGCTCTTTTCAAATAAACTTAAGCACTATAGAATACATTTTGAATCATATTTGTGTGGAATCTAGACTCATGGTGACTTTCCATACATCTTTATCTAACACGTAGTCTACAATTTTGTAATATGACTTTTTAATTAAAATACTTTTAATATACGTTTTAAACTTAGGAAATGGTAATCTTAATATATGCTCCGGAACCTTATTGCAAAAACGTATACTGTGCCCCATAAAAGAATCGTTTACCTTAGTTAAACGAAATCGTAGTACCACGAGTTTGGACCTAGTTCTAAGGTTAATATTATGGATAACTTCTTTCTTAACGAAATTATGTATATTTTTTGCTTTTTTAGCTGCATCGGCTATATGTTCTGCGAAGAATGTGCTTCTCAACTGCCACTTAACTTTTGCAATTCTTTGGGCTATATAGGTTCCTCTGGTTCTATCGCGGATATCCTCATTTGTGATTCGATCTTGCAGTGAAACTCCGAGGATAGCCCACTCCAGTGTTCATTTGGGAGGTTTTGCCATATTCGCAACGCTTAGCAGCCAAATTGACGATCACACTTTGGTTGCAATTATACCGCTATAATAATCTACATTGCTTGATGATCCCTTAATCGCTTTGCACGACGCACACAGGAAAAGTTACAGGTGGTTTCAGCAAAAGACCACACCGACGGATCAATTTGTAAAATTGCGAATTTATTTCCAAACAGGCATTTTTTATCTATATAAAATATTGCACAAATATATATGTAGGTACTTACAAACTGTGGTTGCAGAAAATAATGGCATCTCACGACTCTCTTCTTCAATTTTATTTATTCAACTTTATTCTATCCAAATGTAATCAATAATAATCATAATAAGTAAACAACAGTAAACATAATAAATATAGGGCGCAAGTTTCCGGAACTGGCCAGTTCCATAAACTATACTTAAATAGTAATTACAACATTTGCAAATGGAACTCTTTGGCTGTAGAATACAGTTTGTTTCATCTGACTGTCACTTGTTTTTATATTGTGGCGTCATTTTAGAAATTGGTTGTCTACATCACCATGGATTTAACTCGTGAAAATTTTCGTACTATGATTTTCTACGACTTTAAGTGTACTTTAATAGCTCAGCGGAGCTTCGCTCGGCTTCAAACTGCTTTTGGCGATGAAGCACCATGCAAGACGACTATTTATAGCTAGTTTGCAGAATTCAAACGCGGTCGTGTGAATCTCAGTGACGAATTTCGTGATGGTCGCCTGTCCACTGCTGTGAACAACAAAAACATCGATGCTGTGCGCCGTATGATCAAAACAGACAGGCATGTGACATTCCATGAGATTCGGGCATCTTTAGGCATAGACATGAGTCAAATACAAACAATACTACACAAACATTTGCGTGTGATAAAGCTGTGCTCTCGATGAATTCCACACAATTTGACTGAGGCTCAAAAAACGGATCGCGTCACTTGGTGCAATACCATGCTTACCAGATTCAACGAAGGGGCGTCAAATTTGGTGTGGGACATAGTGACAGGTGATGAAACATGGATTTATAGTTACGATCCCAAAATAAAGCAGCAATCGAGCGTATGGGTGTTTCGAGATGAGCCGAAACCAACTAAAGTGGCACGCGTGCAAAGTGCCTCTAAGCGGATGATTGCTTCTTTTTTAATAAAACTTTACACGTGGCTACTGTTGCTTTGGAGAACCGTTGTACCGTAAATACACGACCATTTGCTTGCCGGAAGTTATTGACAAACTCGTAACGTAAAGATAACCGTAATCGACGTATCATCTTGCACCACGATAATGCCAGTTCTCACACGGCCATACAGACAAATGAATTTTTGAAGGTGAACAATGTTGACCTTATGAGCCATCGCGCGTACAGTCCAGACCTGGTCTGATCTTGTGACTTTTATTTATATTCAAAAATTAAGAACCAGTTACGCGGTCAACGATTTTCATCACCTGAAGAGGCTGTCGAAGAGTATGAAAAATATGTTTCAGAGATTGTCACGGAGGAGTGGCATAAATGTTTTCAAAATTGGTTCATTCGTATGAAAAATGCATTAACGCTAATGGAGAATATTTTAAGAAATAATAAATTCATTTCTGACCATTCATAGTATTTTTTTCTTATGCATTCCGGAAACTTATAGTGCGCCACACGTATATTATTTGTTTTGGGTTATGCACCAATTTGTTAACTCTAGCACAGATTTCTTTATTTACTCTAGTCCCACATAAGTGCAAACATATAAACTCATTTAAATTTAGGTAATTTATTCATCATACATTCCATAAATAATTATTAACTTATTTAGGTATTCCGTTTGTCTGCCCACACTGAGGCGAGTAAGTAATCTAAGTAAACAGACACATTTAGTTATAATATCCATAAAACCTGTAGGACATATGCTATGGGCGCAAGAATCGCGCACAATATAGGTAATAATAATAACAATGTGTCTAAATGAAACAACATTTTAAAAGGTTGATATTGAAATATACCTGACAGTTAAGTACGACTCTACCATAATACTTATTTTACACAGCTAAAAAATTTCAGACGGAAAATAAGGAACCGATGATGGCGTAACGACCTTACTTTGATACAAAAGTAAATTATATTTATTGTAAACTAATCTACACCACATGGAGTGCGCGTGGTCGTGAGACGTCGCGCCGTTATGTTAAATCACCTTGATTTTGTAGCCAGTCTAGCAACGTCACTTTAGAGCGCGGACGCGTTTAGTGATCATTTAAATACGCAATTCAATATTAACGTTACCGAAAATGAACATTACTATATTCACAGTACTATTATTAGTAATAAATTGCTCACAATCTCTAAATATACTTGGAATATTTCCTTACCACGGAAAGAGCCATTTTATAGTTCAAAAAGTTTACTTGCGGGAATTGGCGAATAGAGGTCATAATGTGACTGTTATTTCGCATTTTCCTCAAACAGATGCACCCAGTAATTATCATGATATTAGTTTAGCAGGAACAATACCTCCTTTTGAAGACAGCGTTGCGCCGACGGACAAATCATATTTATTCATAATAATAATGGGACTGTATTTATCGTCTTCTGGGACGCAAAATTGTGAAGTGATGTTAGCGAACCATGAAGTGCAAGACTTAGTCAAGCGAAAAACCAAGTTTGATGTGATAATAGCCGAACAATTTAACAGTGACTGTGCTCTTGGAATTGCATTTAAACTAGGTGCTCCTGTGGTAGGCGTCACATCTCACATTCTGATGCCGTACCACTACAAAAGACTTGGTGTGCCTTACAACCCAGCGTACGTATCATTCCATTTCCTTAATGGGGGAACAAGGCCAACTTTATGGCAAAGGCTTGAAAGAGTCGTGTTTGATTTTTATTTCAATACACTTTACCATTGGGTGACGCAAAGAAGTGACCAAAAGACTCTTGCGAATTACTTTGACGATATTCCCCCATTGGAAGACTTAGCTCGAGAAATAAAGTTTTTACTTGTTTATCACTACTTCATGTTGACAGGCTCTAAGCTATTTCCTGCAAATGTGATAGAAGTCGGTGGATATCATGTTTCCAAAGCAAGTCCATTAAAAGGTGTAAGTATAATATATATGTATATTGACTACTTCGGTGGGCCAATGGAGAGGACGAGGAGCCGGATTCGATTTCCGCTAAATACTTCTAAATTTGTTCTAGTTTGGTTAATTCACTACTCTGATACTTAAAATACAGGGTATTCCCTAGTTTGAGAAAGAAAAATTGTTTCCATACATTATTAATATCATGTTTAAAAGTATTATTTGTACTATTACTCAACTTGACTAGATAGTATCTAGTTCTTAGGTTTTCGCGATTGTTACACATAGGAAATAAAACTATTTTTCCGGATTTAAATCGCGTATATTTGTTTTTTCGAAACGTCGGTTTGTTTGAAGAAACAAATGTACGCGATTTAAATCCGGAAAAATAGTTTCATTTCCTAGATAGTATCTAGTTATGCAATAATAAATACTTCATTGTATTAGAGCATTCCTGAAGCCAGTGACCAAAGTGAAACCAAAATTACTCAAATCTCCAATTAAAATCTTTCAGGATCTTAAAACGTTCATGGATGAAGCAGAACATGGTGTAATTTACGTTAATTTTGGCACAATTTTGAAAAGTTCGGCCTTTGGAGCTGAAAAAATTGAAGCCGTACTTGAAGTCATGAAAGAGTTACCACAGAGATTTATTTGGAAATGGGAAAATGAAAACCAATTGCTGGATAAAAATAAGCTCTACGTTGCGAACTGGCTACCTCAAGTTGATATCTTAGGCAAGTGTTAACTTCCCACTAGAATACGATTATTGAAAAACTACTAATAACAATAAACCACCGTATTTTGGTAGTTTTCTTTGGATTCGCTAAAAAGAATATTAGCTGTATTGGCTGGAACCAGATGTTGAAGTTTTATGTTTCATTTCAGGACATCCAAAAACCATAATGTTTTTCTCTCATGCCGGAATGGGTGGAACCACAGAAGCCATACACTTTGGAGTGCCTATAGTGGCCATGCCCATTTTCGGTGATCAGCCATCAAACGCCGCATCCATCGAGGAAAGTGGACTTGGAGTTCAAATTCAGTACAAAGATCTGAATAAGGACAATTTACTTACTGTATTTAAAAAAGTATTGGATCCAGAGTAAGTTCGTTGAATCATCAAATTTGTATTCTTACTTGCAAAACATGAAAATGTTAAATAATTGCACTTTTCCGATTTCAGGTTTTTCAAAAACGTAAAGAGGATATCGGCAGCTTGGCATGACAGACCAATGCCTCCTTTAGAAACAGCAATCTTCTGGACAGAATTTGCAGCACGACATTCCAACTTTACATTCCGGACTGCAGCTGCAGACGTCCCCGCTTATCAATATGCAAACCTCGATATCATTGCTGTGTTTCTATTCTTAGCAGTTTTAATAATCATGTTTTTCATAACTGTTTGCTCTAGAAAAAGAACTGTGTCCAAAAAAGTTTTGAAAAGTAAAGGAAAGAAACCTAAACGTGAATAAGTACACATTTTTAAGTACGATAGCACAACTCAGTTAATTCACCCAATGATAATCAAAATTTCACAACTAAGGCATTTTAAAATCTACTACTTCTCAGTGCCAGTACCCTGCGCTCTCTCTCAATGTCTTTTAATTGATCTCCAAGTCCGTCACTCAGGCAATGGTCTAGATATTTAAAGTTGAACACTCTTTATAATACAGTACTATTAAATTATAAATGAAAATTTTAAATAGAATATATTTAGTGCTGACTCAGTTGTCATGTTTTTATCCTAACTTTAAAATCTTTTGAGCCTAACTGTGTACGTAATGAATGCTTATTTACTAATTGAATATTTGTCTACAGTAAACTGTTTGTTTATTAATTTAATTTATCAAGGCGATAGTCTTCAGTGCAACAAGATCCGTCAATGTGTAACTTGATATGCTGCCGTATGTACACAACATCTTTAGGGTTCTGTTGAGGCTTCCTCGCTTTTACAGCGCGTCTGGCATGTCTGCGGATGCTTGTGGTTTTGTGTGCGTAGGAGCACCAATGGTAATCCTGACGATGGTACCAGGAACATTGGACTCCGGCTGTCTTGTGTAGGTTCACCGTGTTACACGTGGACATATAATAATGTAATTCTTTATAATTAATTTTTCTCCTTTTTTCTACTAAATTAACTCATAAGATTGTTACTAATAAATTTGATTGATGAATTTTAACTAAGTAAGACCTAGTGGTAAGCGACACGCCTGTCCATAACAATTGCAGTACCAATCAAAGCTTAAAAATCGCAAAGATTAGGAGCACTGCCACTGCGCCCGTCACCTAAGACATAAGTCGATAAGCCCCATGTGCCTGTAATTTCACTAGCACCCTTTCCTTCAAAACCGGAGCGCAGTAATGCTCACATTACTGCTTGATGGCAGAAATAGGTACGGTGGCAATACTTCCCTGGATATACTCTTTTACGAGGAGGTCTACATGACTGCTACTTTATTTTAGTTTACCTTGTAATCTGAAAATTGCCAGGAAGATATTATTATCCAACAATAGGTACGGCCGGACTGTTATCCCCTACACGATGGAAAAACATATGTTGTACCTGTCTTTTGTGTTCTGTTATCTAAGTTATATATTTGTTCATGTGTGTAATAAAGAGTACCTATTCTGTATTGTATCCATGGTAGAATATTTATGTGGTCTGTGGTTGTATCCGAAAAATAAATGATATAAAAAGTTATAAGAAATTTCGTGGGATTTTTTAAATTCAAATCTTCAAAATACAATGTGAAAATACTTAAGGCGATGAGGTGCCCAAAATCGCTTATATAGTATTTTTGTGTAAGTTTTAGGCGATAACATAGCACGTGGAACTTTGAAAATAATACATCCTGTAACACGTATCTTGAAGTGTAGCTTGAAAATCCTAGAATATTGCTTATTGTCATTGGTAATACAAAAACTGGATTACAGTGAGACTCTGGTGGTTATTTTTTGACATATTTTTCTCGGGCAAACCAAACTTGCTTACTACCAAATTTGGTGTGGTTGTTTAAATGGTACTTATCTTGATCCTGACACTTTATTTGTTTTGAATAAACGACAAATAACAAATTTTGGAGTAAAAAGTAACTTTCGCCTACTAAAGTACGAGCTAAATATTTGCTTGCAAATTATGGACAGGCACTTAACAGTGTGAAAAAATATCATACACAAAAAAATACGTAAATAAGTAAATATAATGCACCAATTCGTTGAAATCAAAACAAAATATTGAAAAAAAGTCAAATTGCTAAATTTCATTAGGTGAGAATAAAAAAATATATTTTTGGTTGGATTAGAACCTAAAACACAAAGTATTCAAAACAAAAATGAAATTTGTATTGTTTGCGTCCTTGATTATTTAGTAAAATTGCAACGTTGAAAACTTCTGCTGCGTAGCTTGCGTTCGTGGCATACGTTGCCAGACCTCTGTTTTGACAAATTAATTTATATTGTAAAGGCGCGTTATCGCTCAAAGTCATCGACGCTTGTCAGCGTCTTAAATCGTGTTATAATTTTGAGCTCTTTTCTTATAAAATGTATTGTCTAGAAATTTAAAAAATGTGGGCTTGTTGGCTTCACATTTGTAGTCCACAGACGGCAACTTTTAAAGTTGAGAATCGTACTGTGTCCAGTGTTGCCGTTGTAGATAATTGAAAGGCCCTAGATGTCCAGAGATTTTGCGCTAGATTTGGGTAAAAATAATTTCCTAAAATCCGCTAGATGTCTCTAGACATGCTTATTTATACTTCCATGCTTATTTGAAAATCGAATTTCATTCACAAACAGTAAATAAAATTGCAAATAATAGGGGTTAAAGCTTAGAATAATAACGCATAGAATGATAGTTTCATATCAAACGAACTGTCACAAGTGAGGCAAAAACCAAATTCATGTAGGCGTAAGCAACTTGTAACTACGCTCGTCGGCACGCACACAAATATACAAATAATGATGCCATGGAATAACATTTCCCTCAAAAGTGGGGAAATTGTATCTTGCTTAACTCATCATTAAGTTAAAGGTGCCTACAGATTTGCCCGACATTGTCGATCAGGTGCCTACAGATGTGCTCGGTTTTGTCGATGAAAAAACGAATATAGCACTTATTTGTAAATCCAAGATGGCGGACACGATTTTTCAAAATATGCTATATGGGTATCCTTTTCGAGGTATTTGGGGATGCTCATTACGAATATGGCACTCATTTCTAAATCCAAGATGGCGGACACGAGTTTTGAAATAAATGCAATATGGGTATCATTTTCGAGGTACTTGGGGATGCTCATGACGAATATGGCACTCATTTCTACATCCAAGATGGCGGGCACGATTTTTCAAAAAAATGCAATATGGGTATCATTTTCGAGGTACTTGGGGGTGCTCATTACGAATATGGCACTCATTTCTAAATCCAAGATGGCGGACACGAGTTTTGAAATAAATGCAATATGGGTATCATTTTCGAGGTACTTGGGGATGCTCATGACGAATATGGCACTCATTTCTACATCCAAGATGGCGGGCACGATTTTTTCAAAAAAATACTATGTGGGTATCATTTTCGAGGTATTTGGGGATGCTCAATGTGAATATGGCACTATTTGTAAATCCAAGATGGCGGGCACGATTTTTCAAATAATGGCAAGTTGGGTATCGTTTTCGAGGTATTTGGGGGTGCTCATTACGAATATTGCTTTTGTTTGAACTGTCGTGTTTGCCATCTTGGATTTAGAAATGAGTGCCATATTTGTATTGAACATTCCCAAACATCTCGAAAACGATACCCAACTTGCCATTATTCGAAAAATCGCGCCCGCATCTTGGATTTAGAAATAAGTGCCATATTCGAAACCTAAAACCGAAAATGCCATAAGCAAACATTAAAGAAAATAACTGTTAAAATAGATTAAAAAATCGCTTAAGAATGCTCCCCTTTTAAGAAAATAAAATATTTTAATATAAAATATTTCGCTTGAGTTACGAAAAGAAAGACATATAATAAGCTATCAAAGTTGTACTGGTGGTGCCAACACTATAGTAGAAACAAATATATAAGTACTGTAAATTTGTTGCAATATGTGCTCCAATTCAAATAAAATTAAAATAAATAATTATTCAATAAAGCATGAACGCAGAGCCGTTAAAAGTATTATAAAATAATTAAGTGTCCCAATCACTTACAGGAGTTAACGAAAACATTTAATGTTTATTAAAGTAAATATTAGTTCAAGATGCGCAAATAAATCTAAATTACAGGCACCACTAAAATTTACGTAATATAATTATTTTGATACAGAATAGCAAAATGGGGAGAAAAAAAATTCGTTACTTTGCAACACTTTCGTATCTTGTTGCCGCGAAATTATTTTTCTGTTTTAGTGAATATTTACATAAAAATATGAGTTGAAACGCATTACTTACTTGTGGAATGCGATGTTAGTGTCTATTTTGTTTGTCTGTTGTATTTTTACACCCATTTACCGCACATTTCGTCATTTTTAGCAAAAAATTTTGGAGCTGTTCGCGGTGCAATATGACCTTGAGAACTAACAGCCCGCGCGCTCCTGGGACGCGTTTGGAACCCTCTAACTTGCCTCACTTAGCGTGTGCGGGCTAGGTTTCTATGCGTTATTATTCTAAGGGTTAAAGTATGAAATTGCCGATTTGTACTGAAAATCTAAATTGTT